TTGCCTCTCTCTTTTTTGACCTAGTGCCTCAGCACAGAACCAGGGAAAACAGACACAAGGTCATTTGCTGCAACGATTTGCTCACTGCTTTCTGAAGTCAGTCTCTTTTAGGAGATAGATACCTCCTAGGTGAGAAGGGCAATTGTGCACCAACTAAGATCCGTAAGTATCTATTCACTCTTCAGTTGCCTAGTTAAGGCTTGATGTAACATGGGTCTGAGTACCACAGCTATAATGGAAGAGATAGGTGAGAATAATCGAATTTAAAACAGTTTGTGAAATTATTTGGAAATAGGTGTTACTCCAAAAGCATACTTGAAACCGTATCAGTAAATAACGTGATAATAGTGGTGTGGAGATGGTTGGAGCTCCCCAGAAACTTCCCAGAAGTTTCTAGCAGTTCTCAGAACATTAGCCAAAAAACACCCTTCCCACTTGCTCTTTATTTTGGCAACTGAATTTGGCAGATGACAGCTACTGTTCCTCCACTCTTGCTCCCCAGTCATTAGTGGCTTTTTTTTTTTTTCCTGTGCCCTTGTTCAGAAAAATACTTTTTTCCCCAGGTATTTCTGAGAAATATGTCTTCAAACTATTCAAACTCACCTTCAGACTTGAAACTGATCTTGAAAGAGCTGATATTGCCAATTACACTAGATTCATCACTATGCCCTGGGATCCTGCAGATAACTGTCAGGACTGTTCTTAACTGGTTGAGTAATTATAGCTATTTCCATGAAACACAGCTCTTAATACTCCCCCCACACCCAATGTTGCCTACTCTGAGAATTCAGTGTTCCATTTGCAATTCCATAATCAAGTTGTAAGGTACCAGCACTGTCTTCTGGATAATCTGCGTAAGATGCAAAAACTCATCTTGGCCCCCACTCTTTCTGTAGAGTCGGAGCCCTGCAGCTACAGTTGGATGGGGTGACCACACAGCAGACAGTGCCAAACAATACACTTAATAAATGGCTTGTACAACTTGGAAAACAAATGCCGTGCCTATTGCAGTCAGTGTCTCTCTAGAGAAAGAGCCCTTAGAAATTAAATTTTCAATTAATAGATTCAGATTTTTTTGTTTATTCCTTTTGTATCTTCCCAGATTCACTGCCTACTCCATAAGCTCTTGAATTCTAGACTTAAATTCAGAATCTGTGTATTTAGAAGAAGAAAAAAGCTTCAGAAAAATGTTTAAAAAGCCGTGTGTTGCTTTAAATTCATATATTCCAGCTCCAAGCCTCTGAAGCAGACTGAATAACTGAAAGAATTTTATGTCTGGGAAGATGAATAGCACAGTTTTGTTGATAGCTGCACAGCAAGGGGGTAACTTCTCATTAGGCACTGGGTTTTAGATCTGGAAAATGCTGTCTCATTCCCTGCCTGCTGCTGATGGATGCACGTGTGTGTGCAGCAGCTCCAGGGAAGGGGAGCATGGGGAGAGGAGTGTTGGGAGGGGGGCTGCTGGGCTAGGAAGTGATCTCTTTCAGGGGTCTGTCCTTCAGAGGAAGAAGATGAATTCCTGTTGACTGTATTTTTATTAATTTGCTCAAAAGCTATCAATGGTATTCAGTGGCAGAGATCAGTCACAACAGACTGGCAGCGCTCTGCTTGATGCTTGAAAGCATGCCTTGAAAATGGCTCTCCCGTCAGCCTTCACCTATTTCATTCTCTGGCAGAGGAAAGTACTCATTAAGTATGCAAACGTACATGCAGGGATTCAAGTCCTAAACTGTTTTTGCCAAGAGGATGTCAGACAACTGCTTGTTTTTAATAGGGCATGAAAATGAATGATCTGAGACAGTTCTCCTCTCTGCATTTTGAAGTTTTCCCAAACAGGGAGAGAGGGAGGATTTCTGTTTATGTAGAGCAAGGTTTGATCCTGTTAATGTTAGTATTATTCTCCATACAAAAACTTCCTGAACAAAGGATATTTACCAGCCACAAAAGCAGTCTATCTTTCCTTTCCTTACCTGTCTTTTAAACATCATACGTCATTTAAATACTTCAATAGAATGACTAAATCTCACTCCTTTCATCCAGCAAGATGCCTTTGTCTGCTGTTACGTTTCCAGTGTGAGTTCATCATTAAAGGGCAAGGTTAAGGTTTTGTGTGCAGAGTAACTATCAACTAGGAAAATTAAAGAGGGAAGAGACACAAATTAAGTAAAATCCAATTTTAATCTGTTGCAGACACAAAGATGATGATGGCAGAGAAAGGGAATCTTGATTTCTGCTTTGCATTCTTTTCTTTCCCTTGCATCTGTGCCTTGGAAATAGGTAGTCTTGAGTTAGACTTGTCTTGCCTGTGTTCCAGAATTACTGTCGGTAATTGCACAGACCTGCTTCCAGGTATTAGCCACCAATACCTGGAGAGAGATTTAAGCGCGTGGGAGGAAGGGAGCTGCACCTTTCAGAGACCCTCAAGAAACTGCAGTGTTACACAGCAAGAGACCCGCTATGGACAAGCTGGGGCAGACAGAAGTCAGACTTTAAGTGACCGGCAGTTGAATGGTTTGTCATTGCAGAAGTCAAGACGAGGCTTCCTTTTGGTGTTATACAGATCAGTTGGATGTTAGATACGAGTTTGTTTACAAAGTGATCTGAACTAAACTCAATAGAAAAAAAATGGGAGCTTTATGTCTAGCTTAACTGACTTCTCCCCAGTGTCCCATGGTAGATAGCAGAGAAAAAGATGCTGCTGCTGTGTGAATTAGGAACTTGGGTTCTTTGAATTGCCCACTGGAGGGGCTTCTCTTTAGCTGCTGATTATGTTATCTAATGCAAGGGAAAACCTTTTCAGGCACAAGTTGAGATCCTAGCAAAACCTTAAAGCCAAGATTGATTAAGCTAACCCCTGTTTATTAAGGTTCACTTGAGGCAGGGTTGGCAACCAATCAGGGCTGCATCCTCTGCTTAGAATAGAAATAGGGTACCACAGTTGCCGTAGGGTGGCAAACGTTCAGGAGCTGTTATTGATGTTTGCACTATATAGCTCTCCTACTATGTTGTCTTGACTCCAGAGCTTTCCTAAAAGAGTTTCAAGGTAAAACAATGCCTCTGCAACTGCCTACTGCCTTGGGAGGTATCCAGCAGCATTTAAATGCCTCTTGTGAGCTCTTCCTGAAGGTCACTGGGAGAGGAGAAGGCAGGAAAGGAGTATCCCACTCGAGTACCAGCTAATTCAATCTGGTGATGATTCATGTTTCATGTCCCAGGATGGTTTGATATTTCATGTATTTGTTACCTTTTATAGCAATGAAAAATATGTAGAACTCAATTGTACAAATCACAATGACAGAACAATAGCTTAACAAAATCAAAATACACTTCTCACTCAACCTTATCAGCCTAGTCATTCTCCTGAAAATACCAGTAAAACCCATACCCTGGGAAGATCTGTGCTCTGTTTTCATCAGCTTTGAAAGCCTAGTGAAAAAGCAAAATGGGCCTTGTAGCAATTCCCAAAAATAGTAAATTCAATTTTTACCAAATGTAGTCAAATCAAGACTCCTGCCCTGTGCCTGTTGAAATCAATGGGAATCTTGTGACTGACTCCAAGAGCGTTTAGGTTAAAGCACTGCTTGTACAGCACAATAAGATGCAGATGTCTACAGTTTTAAGAAATGAGCACTAGCTGTGCACTTCGGGCAGTGGTCAATCAGCCACCTAATGGAAATCTTGAAAGGTGAAAAGAAAAACCTTTTTTCACTCCTTGCTGCTACAGTCTAGAACAATGAGAGCTTCAAGACATTGGTGTGTTGTGGTGGCCTTCCTCTGAATCTTGCACTTCTTAATTAACAATTGATAAATGTTCAAAGATTTGGTTCCTCTACATTCAAATGGAAATTTATTCTTCATTTATGAGAAAGGAGATTTATTTGTGAGAAATATCACGAAATCTGTATATTGTTTTCCAGACAAGCAGTTTTTCCATTGTTTCAGTGTGGGGTAAAAGACCCACTCCCAATACCTAAAGAAATATTCTTAGTTCCCCAGTAAGAACTATGTGTGTGTAGTCATTTTTATTCAGACTTTATTTTCTGCGTAATCATTCTGTCTCTGAGACTTCCAGGCTGACAACTTGTGACAGCAGTGGTTTACAGACCACTACGCTTTGCGACGTTAGGGTTTACTGCCCTCCCACAATGCAGTTGAATCTCTGAATTTTGCGTTCTGTTTGCCTGGCAAGGAAAAGTAGCCAAAGCTGGTCAGGGTTTGTTCTCAGCGGCCGCATGGCTTCCATAGTTTCCGATATGGCACTATCGAAACAGAAGAAATCACCTTGTTGAACCAACAATCGCCTTCATGAGTGCTTGCGCTGAATTTCAGTTTGCTATGGGAATGAGAGCTGATTTTGGCCACTCGGGGTCTAGTTCAGAAAACAATTTAGCTTGGGTTCAATTTTAAGCACATAGGGATATCCAACTGTGATTAATGATCCTACGCTTCGGTACTTTTTTCCTAGCAAGGCCTTGAGGCTGGGTGGATCCTTTATGAAGACTGTAAGATCTTCCCAGCCATTTCTCCACAGGATGATTTCCACAACCCACTGTGCTCTGCAGCACAGACCTCCAACATGAGTGATGGCATCAGTATAAAATGTCGTCTCACTCTGCAGAGGCAGAGCAGACCTCAGTCTGCAGCAACTCAGAGGAACAAATAGGAAACAGGATTTCCCCCAACAGGCACCTGATTTTTCAGAAATGAACGGGATGTGCAGCCGAGCAAAACCCATCATTCATGCTAAGTGCCTTCAAACTTGACAAACATGGCAAGTGGGACTTCTAGCTCGCCTCACTTGAGCTCCAAGGGAAGTTGGTTCCCTTTTTCCCTCTGTATTTACTAGAAATAACGTTCTTGTAACTGTTTTGTGCAGGGTGGGTTCTGGTAACTGCCAGAGCAAGAAACCTGACCTGGTTTGTTTCCTTCCAGTTTTACATGCTCTCCAGCCTCTGGGAACCCAGGAGCAAGCTTGTGTTTGCCTCCTGCTGCAGCCTCTGGAGATGCCCTTTCAGGAGCTTAGCTCTTCAGATAAAAAGTCCCTCTTCACATGAGAGCATCCTTGAATGAGAGCACTGCAGAATATTTTAAAAGCTCTATCTGTCTGGAAATTTTCCAGACAGTCCTTTACCTACTGGTGTCGTTGTCCTCCTCTCCCCCTTCCCTCTTAAATCTTCACAAACATCTCCATATCATTAATATTTCAGTATCAGCTGTTCACAGGTATTGGCTACACTGCAGTGCACTTCATCAATAAGAGACAGCAAAGGATGTGAGGTTTGCCACACTGCCTTCATCCAGCAGAGGAGTAAGAGCAAAGGCAGAGTCTGGCAGAGCAACTGAGTATTTGCTGAGGGTGAAGCTGCAGTCCCAGTCTCGAGGTGCTTTTTGCTGCTCTCCCTCACTCAGATCATCCAGATAATACTCTATCAAGCAACAAGAATGGATGTCTTTAAGAAAGGTTTCTCCATTGCTAAAGAAGGTGTGGTAGCTGCTGCAGAAAAGACCAAGCAGGGAGTGACAGAAGCTGCTGAGAAGACTAAAGAAGGGGTGATGTATGTAGGTAAGAGAGACTGTTTTCAAAATGTATTTTGAGCAGGAACTGCTGTGTAGATTATCCCTGAGGATGTCTGGGGGAGTTATACTGTGGCTAAAGCTTGGGAGTGAACGGTGGGAGGTCTGGATAGCATCCTCAGCTCTGTCATAGAGTTGCTGTGTAAGCTTGGAGTGCCACATCCTCCCCGTGCCTCAGTTTCCCCAACCATTGATTAGACAGAGAAACAACCACTACTTCAGGGGATGCAGAACTAATGCAATGTTAAGGAGCAGATGCCCAGCTGGACGGTTTCTGTTATGACTGCTGGTTGTTTGCAGGGTGAGTCATTCACTCTCCAGGCATCAGAGCAATGCTGGTGTCCGCCTCACCTCCACGCTGTGAGAGACATGCTGAGGAGGTCCCTGAGAGAAGCCAGCAGGGTTATTAAGTGGGCATTGCAGGATGCATCTGTTTCCCCACAAATATACCACTTTATCTTGAAACCCTCCTCTTGTTGACTGACGCATTAACCTTGCTTTACAAGAGTTGCCCAGATTAGTTTCGCCCAAAGGATAGGATCTGGAAAACAGCATGACTGATGTCTTGCCTAGAGACCTCCCTCACAGTTAATGTGCTGTTTCAGAAACCTCCCTTTTCAAGGTCACCCTCAAAACCCACTATATCCACCGTCTTGCACATGCAATTATATGGCTGGATGGTCAGATATTCCAGATAATGTAGAATCTATGAAGTCTTAGGTTCTCAAGACTGATTACCTCACTGCTGATTACTGCATCTCACATAGCTTTTTATGTTTGCTAGGTATGCGAGAGAGGGGGTGTTTAGTGGGAAAGTTTGCATACAGGCTCTTCCTGCTGTTATGCTGAGACATCCATAGCTGTACATAGCTACTGTATTTGAAACACCTCTCTCGACAATAGCTAGAGATACAAATTTGTACATTACAAATGAAATACCAATTTTGTGTAGGAGATCTGATAATGTTTTCATCCTGAAATTTTAAATACTCAAATACTGGCATGCTGTAAATGAACATACATAACAGTTCGCATTTCAATTTGAAGCTGACTCGCAAGACAAAAAGGTAAATAGCATCCATGTAAACAGCTGAAACACCAGCCTGCAAAACGTCACACCTAGGTGTCAAATCATGTCATCACTCCTGCTCCAGTTGCTTCCTGATTTGGGGGTGCCAGACGGGTTATTCTGAACCTTTATACGTAATTCCTCGCATCTCTGTTCAGTGAGCTGGTACATCTCCATACTCTGGCCTGGGTTTCAGTTTTGCACAGCCGTGAGGTAGAGTCTGCTTATGAGATCCTAACCTTTTCAATGAAGTTTTCTAACAACCTTCTTAAAACCTAAATCTCGGAATGAGGCTCCAATAAGGATCAAGGTGAAGATTCAGTGCTTTCTCGTCCTATTTTTTTTTGATTTGGCTTGTTCCTGCCCTGTCATGCACTGCATATTGCTCTGCCTTGGCTGATTCAGTTCCTGTTGCATGCGGGGGAATGCTCAGCCCTTTGGAAAAAAATCAGTCTTTCACAGGCAGGATAAATAAAGGCCAGATGCTGATTAGCTCAGAGAATTGATTTTTAAGTAAGAAGAGGAAGTGGAAACCAAGTGTATCGATTAAAACTGGAATGATAAGTGTGTTCATGCTGCCTTTTCTCACTGTGCCACATGAAGAGTTAATCACAGACCTGAACTGTTCCTTCCCTGCTTCTTCCTTTGCAGACCCCTGTCCCAGCAGCTTGGTCTAGAGTGTTATGTGTTGCATCCTGAATTTTTGGATGCTAGGAGAAAATAATACTTGTATAAAATCTTGAGGGTCTTTCCAGAGCGTCAGGAAAGGGAGGAAAAACCCCAAAGCCTAGGATGGATGAAGTGGATCCTTGACTTTCATTCAGGTTTGTGTTAACTCACTGCTGACTCTCCGAGGAGGATTCCAGATGTCTGGACACGACTACAGCACCCGATGAGTCACTTGCTGCCACCCCAGGAGAACAAGATGATGCTTATTCAGAGGCATCCGCCTGGAGCAGACAGCATCACCAGGGTACTGCGGCCACCTCATCCCTCCCCTCTGAGCCACGCAGGTTCAGTTCCCACAACCCGTGCCAGGGCTGGAGATGCCTTCCTCCTGTGCTAACACTGCAGTGTGGTTCACAGCTGAGCTGGTTGGAGATATGGCTGTTGCTGGGAGAGTCATGAGCATGAGATGCTTCTGCCCCACCACGTGGCTTGCTGAATAGATAGGGTGGAGAAGAGGATGCACAAAAGGAGAGAGGGAGAACTCCTGTAGCATGAACCACCTTTGCACTTAGTAAAAATCACAGTCTGCTCTCCAAACTGTAACGGCCTCTGGGTATACCGAACTGGCATGTTAATGTGTGTCCAGCAGCTGATTTGATGGGATGTCTTTTTTTATTTGGCTTAAATAGGGGGATAAGTGGTGCTGAAGTTAATGAAGTTAATGCAAAGCTGCACCAGAGTATTGAGTGTAAGGTCATTAGTACCCTTTAATACTATAATTCAGGAAGCCTCAACAAAGAATACATTTCTAGGTTTCCAGAACAGCTTTCAACCACACATGTTGCAGAAAGCCCCAGGGCACCAAGCTTTACATAAACAGAGTTTCTCTAAAAAGAGTGAACTCCCACAGGACTTACAGCACATCAAAATACTCTCTTCTACCATAAACCTTTTCCCACTGCACAGCGCTCCACCACCTTGGTCGCACCCTTGGTATACCAAAGCTCTTAGAGGTGACTCACAGAGCTCAAAAGTTCATGCATCCTGTCTCTTTTAATTCTGTGTACACAAGCTGCAGGCAAGGACTAATGAGTGAAATGAGATTGAGCATCAGTTGATTGCTTTCTGATTCAACGGATTCCGGTGGCTGGCAAGGGTATGCACCAGAAGGTCAGGTTTCATGTGGTGAATAATGGATGCTGAGCCTGAGTCATTGGGTGTGGTCAGGGCTGTGGATTAGGAAGATGAGGCAAACTCTCCCCAGGCTGGAGCAGAGGCACTTCCCAGTGCCACCGCTTCTGTTGTGAAGTGGATGCCAAGGTGTTTCTTCTACCTGCATCCCTCCTTTTTGGAACTATTGATGTTTTGGAACATCAAAAGACATGTCGCCCACCCACTCACCCTGAGAAGGAATTGAGCCCAGATAATCATCTTAAATCAAAAGTCTGGAAAAAAATACACAGAAGTACACCTCCTGTCTCACTAAGCATGTTTACTGCAAAACTGAAACATATGCAAAGGTCAGTACAGCAAATTATATACTTTGCTTGCCTAACAACTGCTCTTTGACCAAAAAAAAGAGCAAAGAAGGGCTAAGCTTGAACATCTGTGTCTGATGTGAGATGATCTTGTATGTCGAATCAGTACTGTGGCAGACTTTGGTTGGAATGGCACTGGGAGGGAAACTAAAGCAAGATGGTGTCTGAATTGAACTGTGTACATTTGGCCCGCTCAGAAGTTCGTGTTCGTGGCTTGAGACTTGTATCTGCTCTGCTCACTGCTGTGCTCCTGTCATGTATGTCTATCATGGGCATCATTCTTCAGCCCAGTTTACAGCAGTGCACACCTATAGTATGCATCAGTAGGAACTGCTGTTTAGAACAGTAACAAGTATAAAGACTTCATCTCTTCAGTTTGAACACAGTCTGGGAGGGTGGAGTGAAATGTTGATAGCATTATTGCAGTAAACCAGCTTTGTTCCGCCCAAGCAATGCTTACAACCACCAAAATAAATCAACAATTGAGAATTACTTTCAATAGTGCATAACACGTATCGAGCAGAACAGAACTGGGCTGGATCTCTTGTTATCAGGGTGCTGCACCTGTTTTGCTTTTCAGTCTGTCAGCAAGAGCGAGATGTGGTTTGTAGCTGATTTATCCCACCACACCCCTGGATGCTCTGGTACCCCTGGAGTTAAAGATCTGCCTGACTCTTTATTTCTATTGCTTTGACAGTTGGCCATAAAAATCCTTTTATTGTATCAGTACAGGAAGTTGGAGCCTGTATATGTGCAGACGATTTACAAAATACAGTAAAGTGGGACCAGTGGAACCTTTTGGCATGTGTTGGTTTAACTTCCAACAGAGATAAATTTGATCCTTTATTTTTGTAATGTGAAAAAGTATCTAGTTACTGCAAGGGCTGCCTATTTACCATATGATTTAACCCACTATGTGCAACAGTATATAAATAGAAGGGATGCGTAGCAGGTCACTCCAAGCATGGAGGAAAACTGCAGAGATTAATTATTCCTTAAGGGCTATTTGCATTGCAAACTGAATGCCTTCACATCCTGTTGATCTTCGCATCCTTGCCTTGTGAACAGCAAGATAAATTACAGTGTAAGCATACATATGGTATACTTCATAATTTTGGGTTAAAAACATCTGCATTCTGTTCATCGCTGTAGCAGGCACTTACAGCTTAGGCTGAGGCACTGACATGGGAATCTAGTAAGTAAGTACGTAGTAGGTTGTTGGTTGTTCTGCAAATTCAACCTCAGGTTTCTCCAGAGTCTTTATTACAGGTACAGAATGAAGCTTTAAGTGTCCACTGTAGTCAAGTATCCTGCTGAAAGGCACGGAAGAGTCACGGATGTGATTCCTTGTCTTGAAAGACTGACGTAGGTGATATTTCACCAGGTGACTTAATATACATTTGTGTTTACAATTAGCTTAACATTGATTTACCTCCACTCAGTTCTCCTTGTCATTTTGGAAACATCCCAGGGACAATTTTTCATACTTCAGCATGGTATCATCAAGAAATTTCAGGTCTAGGCATCTCCAGACAATTTGCAGTTGAAGTTGTCCACCTATGACTTTACTGGGGAAGGGAGCTGATCCCATCTGCTGGCTCTCCAAATTGTTATGTCTTAACAGGAGGTGCTGGTAGCACCACAGCTCCCCACTGCACCTCGTAAGAACAGAAAGCCATCCATGTCCAAAAACCAGGGAGTTTTTTGCCAGCTAGCACTGATGGGCTGTGTGTTTCCTTTCACAGGTACCAAAACCAAGGAAGGCGTAGTGCAAAGTGTGACCTCAGGTAAGACTGCAGCCCTGGGAGAGACGCGGAAATCTGTGATGGTCTGCTGGACCTCTTGATGAGGCCATCACTCCTGCCAAATAGAAGGTCTCTGGGGGGCAGCAGTGATCTGCGTGACCTTCCATTTGATGAATGGAGGATGTTTTCCAGGAGTGATGGCTCAGGGTCTGGCATTTGCAAGTGCACGTGGATGAGAGAAAATATTTAATCAGTAGAGCAGGTCAGAAAACATCTGACAGATGTTGCTTGTCAGATTCAGATGGTTCACAGCAGTTTAGACATTTCACAATGTCAAGGATGCTGCCTAGCATGCAGAGAGGGTCCTGTCAGGCTAAAACTGTTGTCTTTGAGACACTCCTGACAGGCAGTCCCAGAGTCAGAGACCCAAAGAGATCCTTCTAGGTATCCCGAGCTCCCAAGGCAGGGAAGCTGAGTGGACTGCCTTCAAGAGAGATGAATGGATCCTTTCACTAGAGAATTTAATGATTAATTTAGTTTTTTCCCCAGGTGTATTAAATCCAACAGAAGGTGCCCTGATAGAGGTAATGTGCCGTCTGCAACGCAAAATACCTTATTTGCACAAATGTCTCTTAGTATATCACAGTGAATTTTTCATTCTCCAGTTGTCTACAAGGCCTGGCAAGCTGCAGAGCTGCTCTCTGAGCAGCATTTTGAATCAGGCAAAACCCTCATGTACATAATCTAAATTCAGATGTGATCTCATATAAAAGAAAACAAAATAGGGACTGTAGCAGGGCCAGTTTCTTCTCTTACCTCAGTACAAATGTTTATTGTCCTACTGAACTTGGCAGCCTTTTGGCAGTGCCTGGCTCATTGACTTTCTGCTTTTGTTGCTCAGTTGCTGAGAAGACCAAAGAACAGGCCAACGTGGTGGGAGAAGCTGTAGTAGCCAGCGTGAATACAGTGGCAAACAAGACTGTAGAAGGAGCAGAGACCATCGTGGCCACTACAGGAGTTGTGAAAAAGGTGTGTTTGTTTCTTCAGCAGTATTCAGGACCAAAGAGACATCTTTGGATTACATTTAAAATATAGAATCATAGAATGGTTTGTGTTGGAAGGAATCTTAAAGATCATCTAGTTCTAACCCCCCCTGCCATGAGCACATCTCCCAGTAGACCAGATTGCTGAAACACTTGCAAATGATGGTTTTACCTATTCAGTGAGAGGTTTTCAGCAATGTCTGCTTTGATATAATGTTTAATATTACTGTATAATGCTAACATAATCCCAGAATCATTTAGTTTGGAAGGGACCACTTGAGATCATCTAGTCTGACTCCCTTAGGGTAATGAAAGCATGTTGCCCAGGACTTTATCTGGTTGGGTTTTGAATATCTCCGCAGATGGAGACTCTGCAATATCACTGAGCAACCTGTGCCAGTGTTTGACCACTCTCATGGGAAAAAAAGTGTTTTCGTACGTTCAGATGGACATGTTAATCAACTCATGCCCATTGTGTGCTGTCCCGTCAGCAGGCACTGCTGGCAAGAGCCCAGCTCCCCGTTTTCTGATCAATGTAGATAAGCATTCTTCCCAGGGACTTGAGTAGAAACCCGTCCAGGCTGCAGTGGGCATGTGGCCAGGGTCAGAGCTGAGGGACGTGTGGGGTGTGAAGGAGCAGGAGCAAAGCCTTGCCCTCACACCTTGACCCCGGCCCAGCCACTCTGCAGGCAGCAGAGGGCAGCAGCAATTCAGGCAGGGAGCCTGACCCTCCTGCTCTGCTCTGGGCTCACTTTGACAACTGGTTCATAAAGGCCATGGGACACAGATTGTGCACGGGTTAAACCAGATTAGGAAGAGGCATCTTCTGTCCTCCAGCCTAACTAACCTTGACAAACTAGGTTGCTTCAAATGAGGGTTTAAAGGGGATGTGAAGGAGCAGAACAACCCCCTAGATGAAGGCAGAGTTGATCATCAGAGAAGATGCTTTTACTGGGGGGTAACAAACCACAACCATTTGTACTGTACTTGAGACTAATATTTGGCAGTTCTTTGGTAAGCCTGGCTGCATTTCCACTCTTCAGAGAGCTGTGATCAGTGGTGTTGATAGCGACATGAGGTAGATGAGTCACGGCAAACCCAAACCCAGAATCAAAGCGGTGAGGTTGGCCAAAATTGTTTTAATTGTTCACACAGTTTGCTGATGAATTTCCTGACCTGCACGTAAACACATTGTGATATGAAACAAAACTTCTACACACCATATAAATCCTGAGAGAATAGGCTGACAAAAAAGACCAGCAGCTACGGATGACGCAAAATGTTCTCCTGAAAGCATGTGAAATCAGCAGATACAGACGTTGTGCTAAGCCCTTGGGATAAATTTAATCTCTGTTCCCTTAGGGAGCAGCAGTTAGGCTGCAGCAATGCAAACAGTGATTCCTGATTCCATGGGGCCAGACACCCCCCTTTTACCTCTTGACTGACTGGGTGCAGGGTGGCTGACCCAGGAGACCTAGGAATTTGCTGATGGTAGAAATCCATCCTCCTGATACCAAATTGTCTCCCTTTCTGGCAAGGACTGAGCAACAGCAACAGTCTGTTTTGTCCTAAGTGAGAGCCCCCCTCAAAGACTGATGACTTACAACTTACAGGTGTTACTTTCATACCTCAAACAGGTCAATATTATCTGCTTTTACCCTTGTGCAGGTAAGCCCTTCGAAAATCAGAGATTCTTTCACCCTAGTAGTGGTTCTGGGTTATGCAGGCTGCAAGCAATATACAAAAGCTGTGAGTTTTCCAGCTGCATCTGAACTGTCATTCTTACATCTTCATTGATGTCTGTCTGCTTACTATTAAAATGGGGACTGATCAAGAAATAAAGACGTGGGAAGTGTCATGTGCCAAAGGCCAGAGTAAATGAGGGAGACAGGGAATGGCTTTGGATGGTGTTATGCTAAATAGCAGAGGTGGGCAGAAGAAGGAAAACAGGAAAAACAAGGCCAAAGTAGTCACAGGAGAATGAAATTAAGGAAAATGTTTGTGTGAAAGAGGGAGGTCGTCTACTTTACTCATTTCGTTCAATTTAGATAAGGAGTGTGAATCTCATAGCCATCCTTACCATACTTCATCTGCTAGATACCTTTCAGATAGCAATAACACGGAAGATTGAGCTCCATATGCACACCAAGTGCATCCCAGCTGCTAAAGGTTAATTGCCTCAGAGCCAGAGCTGCTCTGGAGGGAGGGCCCTGAAGGGAGTGGAGGGGTCGTGTTGGGCTCTTAGCACCAGCTGTTTTCTCCAGGTCTGCACAATTTGCTAATGGAAAATATAGCTGGAGGCTGCCAAGAGCAGCACCAGGCACCATAATGCAAGTGAGACACCCATTGGAGATACACTGAGAAGAGTGATAAGGTATAGCAGTTACCTGTTTAAAAAATCAATACCTTCTGTTATAATCTCACAATCATGGAATTATACACAAGCATTTCAGCCCCTGAAGTTTCAGAGAGCTGTTACATCCAGTCCTGAGACTTGCTCATGCTCCACCCTGTCCTCCTTCCGTCTAACTGCAAAGAGCAGTTTCTAGCATCTTATTTATGTTTTCAACTGTCTCCAGTGTTGTTTCCTGCTGACTTTATATAGGGGTGTTCAAAACGCCATAGAATCTTTGTGAATGCATGACACTGAGCACTGCAATGTAATGATTCAAATCTGGGGAGTTGAGTGGCCTAGGAGGCATGTCCCTAGCTGAGCATTCCCAGTATTAATATCAATTACAGAAAGCTTGTTGACATTTAGTCTGTACGTTTGACAGCTGGGGTCAGTGGCAGGCACATACTAGCAAGGAATGGGGAGCTCTTAAGGATTCTGGATTAAGTTTGCTTGGGGCAGCAGCCGCAGGGTGGTTTTGCTCTGCGGGTATATCAGATGGTGACCTTGGCCATAGGGAAGAATTCATCCCTTTTGCAGGATGTGGCAGGAACTGATATGTGGACACGCATGGACAACATTAGTTGACAGGTCCTTGCTGTCCTCAGTGGGAGCACTTGGAGCCAGGTAGAAAGAAACAGGGTTGAAATAACTCTATGCCTGTGGAGGGGTGACGAGCGTCAGATGAGAGCAACCTCAAGTAGTGTTGGCATCACCTAGTAGGGCTTTGGCACTAGCCTGGTCACTGCTGTGTACAAGAAAGTATTGGTTCATTTAGGGGACTTTTTAAGTATAAACTAAAAGGTATGTAAGTTAGGAGACTATGGACCCTCCACAATTTTTCTGATATGCAAAGGAATGAGACCCATCAGTAATCTGTTTTGTCTGTGGCTCTGCAATCATCCCAGTCCCAAGGGGGAACATTAAGGGATTTTAGTGATATAACCGCCCACTAAACATCCCTGTCTTAGAAGAGGATTAATTCTTTGTCTACATGACACAGCACAAAGTTTGCTGCATTGCAGACACCACGTGGTTGGGAGCAAGCACATGTACATACACACGCATACACACTCACAACATGTCCCCTGGGGACTGGAATAATTTTCCCAGTAGCTGATGCTTCCTTATGCCCTCTACCTAGATCTTCCCTTCAATCTATTTGCCATGTCAGTTTTTATATGGTTTAGTTGTCCGTTCATGGCTCTGTTGTTTTGAATTGGGTTTGATCTTTTTTTGATTTCATTAATTCTTTGAGCAGTTGTCAGCTGTGTGCAACTGCTGGGCGCATTCACTGCATCATGTTGTTTCTGTCTGCGCTCGATCTAGCGCATGTGTACCGCACCCGTGCCACGGCTTATCGCTTTCGTAACAACTGCACATTTTGAATATGAGCGGTTGATGTACATATTCTGCTCCCTTAAACCCTGCAATGCCACCAACAGTAAGACAGTCACACCGAAGGAATTAGAAGCAGAAACTGATGAGTGACCTCCCTATTTAAGTTTGTTTGGACAGGGCAAGTGCCACTAGGAGAGAGTAACCAAGGGTAGCTGAGAGGCCACCAAGAGCAGAGCTGCTAAGCAGGAGAAGCAGGGAAATTGACAACTGCACTAGCTTACAATTAAGTAGACTAAATAGTTGAAACTTTTCTCCTTTGTATGCAAGCTTCAGCCTTTGTGTTCAAGCTTCTTCACTGATGTGGTGTTGCATCCCAGTGGTATCCTTCAGCATCCCATGGAGCAGGGGAGACTGCAAAAGCAGCGTGGCGTGGCGTACTCTGCCTACATGCACTTTTTCTGTGCTTCCCTCTGGCTCATCAGTGCTTCCAGGTGTACGTTTTTCACATGGAGGAGAGCTGAGTTAGAGGCAGTGGTGAAGCCCTAAAGTCTGCAAGACTATGTGTGCGCTTCATGGCTAAAGGTTTGTGCCACAGTAATTCTGTAGGATAATAAAAGGATAAGCATTATTAAATACGTATTGTTTGTAAAAGCAGCCCCAGGAAAAACCCTAAGAGAGTCTGGCTATGAACTGGATGAAAACAAAGCTACCCCAAGAGTCCACCAGGTTTGTACTGTAAGACGGGAATCCCTCGCACCCATCTGTCTGTCCTGTCAGTGGGTCCACTCACTTTAATCATGGGTTGACCTCTTACTCAGAGCTGTCAGCATCACTCAGGGCATGTTCAGCCCGAAACCCATCCAGGACAGCCCGTCCATAGGACCTGTCAGGTTGCCTGAGGCTTTAGAAGGGAGTGGTTTGGGGATGCTGCCAAGTAGCATTGCTTTTGCTCCAACGCCCAAGGTCAAGAGCACTACAGGAGGCTGAACCTTTCTCTGCCTTATGCAATTGATGTCTCATTGCAGGCTGTTAAATTTGTAGCAGATTAGGTTTCCAGTGAATCTTTCTGGTTGTATGGCCTTAAAATAATAATAATAATAATAATAATAATAAATAATAGAACAGCGAAATCTTGCTTGCCACTGAATTTGTTGAGTTTTTGATGCATCCAGCATTTAGACTCTGCATGCTTTCTCTGTTAGATAAGGAAGATAATCCTGATAAGTTTATCTCAGAATTTTGGGGGATGGTAAAAAAAAAAAAAGATCACTGGCCTATAACATGATATGGATAAAAATATAAATTCCATTTCATGTATGGGCTTGGCCAGCAGTGCATACGATGCATTTGCTGAGCTGAAAAAGGGAATTTCATAGAATCTGTGAAATAGAGAAATCTGAAGAATCAAGGTGTAATTATTTTGTTTGGGAGAGTTTGGTTTTTTCTTTTTTTTTTTCTTTTCCAAAATCTGTGGACTTTTCAAATCTGTTTTTAAAAAAGCATATTAAAATCCCTGACCCCAGGAGCCTATAGTGCACTCTATGTAAGACCTCTTAACATTGCACAGGAATATTTTTATAAATGGCAGGTCCTCACTTGTTGAGCTTTTCATTAGCAACACCTGAACATGTAACTATGTTTCATAACCTTAGTGAAATATTGTATTTTATATATATATATATATAACCTTATATAGGGTGTATATTCTATTTACAAATAATTTATACATATATAAATATTTTAGAACTTGCATAGTATTGCTGTAATATAATTCCTGTAAAGACTCTAAGGTCTTACTTAGCTACTATGTTAAACTACTTTGGTTTTCTCTCGTCTCTAGCCAAAATCACACACAAACACACACACACACACACACACACACACACACAAAGTTATTGAGAAACCAGCCCATAATAAACTAAATTTTTTTTTTTTTTTTCCTTTTAAATGCTTTTTCTAAGACAATACATAATTTTGGAGGGGGGGAGGTGTGTGGAAATCTGCTTGCTGTTTAAGAGCAGGAGAAGCATTACTAATTAATTCATGGTTGCAACATGCCTTTCCCTTAGAACATTTTATCCCTTTTAATGAGGAGATGAGCACTGAAAGGAATGGCACAGTTGCTGCTGTCCTCCAGAGAAGCTGGATTTTCAGCCTTGCTTTCTTGCCCAGCATCACACTGCGAGTCAGTGCTACAGCTGGGGTCAGTACCCAGGAACTTATGGCTCTTTATCCGAAGTGAAGACCCTCACATCACATGGTCCTCCTCTGTATGTTGTTTTCCTGGCTAGTCATCAAAATCCCCAGCCAGCTAACACCCAGCTGAAGAATGCAGCCCTTCCTCATCTCATGCTCACTGTTTTTAGCAGGGTGGGAAGCGCGTGAGAAAAAGGCTGTGAGACGACATCCCTAACAGAGCCTGACACCTCTTCATCCTGCGATTGTGCTGGTTCCTCCAACACAGTTTATGAAACACACTCCAGAAGCATGGTTGCTTTCCTTTCTGAAAATAGACGGATGAGTTACTTTCATCCTTCTGGAGCAGAGTCTTGGCAGAGAGCACAATTTAAGAGGTATAATAAGCAGAACAATAGCTGAACCAGGGATTCTTCAGCCCACCCATCCCTCGTGGATGCAGTGTCCTGAAAATAGACCTGAAGAAGGATCCTCTTTTCCATGACTGTTTCCCCATCTACCGGAGCTGATCTGCCAACTCACAGGAAGGTGGTCATGCCCTGTAGAAAGGTGAGGTGCGCTGCACTTGTCCTTGTGCTCCTATGAGCTGTCCCCAGTTTTCCTAGTGCAGCTCAGCACCTTCAGCAGTCACCTCTGATTCACCTTCATGATTTCACATGGAAGCTGGAAACCCCATGTGTAAAACACCTACAAATTGCTTGCTCTTGCAGCTGTTGTCATTGGCTTGCACTGCAGGTTTCTTTTCTTTCTACCTAACCATCAAAAAAAGGCATGTAAAGCTTCCAGACACAATTTGAGGCAATTTACATGCTTTGACCTAGTGTGCATCATTAAGTTAAAAGGTGTAGCCATTTTATACGGCCCTGTACACATTAAGTGTTTTAAAGCCATAGACAGGATCCTGTGGCTGGATCAACCTCATAGAGTAGTGAGCTCTGTTGACATTGTCCTGTTGGCAGCAGGAGAGTTCACTCGTTTTGGACAGGCTCCATCAGACTGGGGGCCTCTCCCGAGCAGCCTCTGATCCCTGCTGCACTGGGAACTGGAGACCAGAAACCAGTCTCCATGTTGTGCATAATTTAAGGTTACCTGGGCTTTCTTAACACGGATCAGGTTGATATTAGCAAGAATCATTTCGGACAACACCACAGTGCAAATTAAGGGCATGTTTCTTAGGGGAAAAAAACCCAATCACACTGTGCTTTTCATATGGAGACACCCCCAGTGCATGACACGCTCTTTTAACAAACTAACTGATTCTCAGCAGGGAGGTGAAGTGAATGTCTGGAGCTGCAACAGACTTCAGTACTGGGCTGCAGCTCATATTTTGGCCATCGTCTTTCTTTGGTGGATTGATCCCTACAGTAGTTTGCATGGACAGCAGGAAGCCTATGGCAGTATAACCAGGTTACAGCTGTATCTCCTGGCTCCCCTTCCTGCCAGAAATGGATCTGAAGTCCAATTTCCATCTTAAATTTTCATGGGACCTACCTTATATCTATGTAACGGTGAAATCTGTCTATTTTTGTCTTCTTATTTCACATCACTTCTTCTTCCCTTATTCAGTCCCAAAAGTAGCAGGGGTGTTCTGCTGATGAGAGCAGTTGTGACTGGACAGGTAAATAAGGACATGTGTGAAAATGAAGAGTGGAGTTCCCCAGAACATACAGAGCATAAAGTTCTGCTCACAGTAGGTGTGACAGGGACATTTGATTTGCACTGCATCAACAGCAGCACCAGGGAAAGCAGTGGTCTCATGTTTCCAAAATATTGAAATTTAAATGGTATATTTCCCTTCCATGCAAAACTCACTTTTTCTTCACGTAATATATATGTATTAGGTTCCTTCTATGGTGGTCCTGTCTTCATGTAGGAAAAGAGTAAAAATTCGGGGATACTGCTGGGCATGTGTCCTCAAAGGGAACAGAAGCTTTGTGACTTTAGCAGAGTTCCCTTGGGGCTGGATAATAGAGGTCCTGATATTTCTGTTTCTCCCTGCTCTTACTGATTGATTCCATAGAGATGCATTCCTGCTTTCTGCCCATCCCTTGTGCACATCCAGGATGATCAGGATTTTGTCTTCTCTTGTCATGTGGCCAAATCTCATTTAAAGGGATTGCCTGGTAACGATCTTTTTCTGTTCTTTGAATAGGAAGGTAACTGAAAGATATGGGGAACTAGCTAAAAGAGCCCAAAGTGCTCATGAAAAAGCTTGGACTTCAAACACAGAAAAGCTTATCCTTTGATAATGACAGTTTGTCTGAGGCAAGACATTAATGCCACCATAATGCTCTTAGATCTGAAATTAGTATTAGTCTATGCAATGAGTGTTTAGGGTAAGTAAAATAATGTGGGAAAAGCGAGGCTTGATCTGTTGTACTCTAGGTAAATTTATTTGTTCCTCACAAATTTCTTCACACTGAAAAAGTTAAAACTCTGGTCTCGGTGACAGGAAAGAAAACCTCTGAAAAATAACTGATTTTCTGTATGAAAAAGACCATAAGCCAGGTTGCAAGAAATTGAATTGCTTTTCCATAGACATCTGCTCTAACAAGCTGCATGAAAATGGATTTTGAGCAATATTTGTTATCTATTAAACCCAGTATTTTATCTGTGTGTGTAATGCTCAAACCCATGTTGCACAGTCTGCTCAAATGGTCTCTCTAAGATCAGTGGGATGACTCTGTGTGGCAGTAAGGACAAACATCTCTCTTGTGACTTGGCAGGAGGACCTGGCTCCACCACAGCCGCCGGAGCAGCCGGAGGTGGCAGGAGACGTGGCAGGCACAGGAGGCGGTGGAGAGGTAAGGTGATGCCACGGCCAGGACTTCCCACAGTCCCTGGGCTCTCAAGAGCACACATGGGCTTTTTCTGTGTTCTTCCCTTTGCCTTCTGTGGTTATAGAGCTGCCACGTGTGGAGCCCATCAGTATTCCCGCTTTCATGATGAAAAACTGAGCTCATCAGTTTTCACTCTTGCTACTTGAATTTGGGGACCAGGAATTTGCCATGAGTTACAGACTGGACAGATCTGCTGCCTGCTTTGGTCTGATTTTGATGTGGGGTGGAAACACACATATAATACTTAATGCTTTTCTATGATTTTAGTGTCACATGGAATAGTTTTTTCCTGGTTGCAGCCATGCTTTAAAAGAGCTTTAGAAAACAAGATAGATTTTTCTTTAGGTTTTCCTCTATTTAAATTAATTATTTTATTTTTTTTACCTATTCTACCTGTAACATCTTTTTGAAGCCCTGAGGCAAACGTCAGTCTCTGGGCCAAGCTCTTTCAGCTCTTGAACAAGGAAGGACAACCTCTTATCAGCCAACCTAGATGCTTTAAAGGGACAAAGGCTTCTCAGGTGGTATTCCCTTCACAGTTTCAGTCCTAAGGCCTTTGGCTACCCATTCCACAAGCCCTGCAGCACTGCATGCACCCAGTCCACAGTTTTCAGATTCTCTGAAATGACAGTTTTCATGGTACCTGAACCTCCCTGAAATCTCAGCTTGCACCTACCACCCTCCGCCAGCCATCATCCCCTCTGCTAACAGTCCCCAAAAGAGCCCTGCAAATCCGATTGACTTTACCTCTGCACAAGTTCTAACGTCAGGCTGTCGGGGCGGGTGGTAGACCTGGCAGCAGAATGCTGGATGCTCCTGCCAGGGGCAGCCCTGCCCTGTGCTAACTCAACTTCCACTGCATATAAAATCACCCTCTTGTTTTCCCTGGAGGTCTGAGTTACAGCGAGAGTTTGTCTGGTTCCCAGAAGGAATGGATAATTCATTCGTTCTCTGCAGCACAGATGGTCCTCATTGTTTTGTAGCTGTTTGTGGGGTTTTATGTAGTGACTACCATCACTGATTTTTCTCATGATTTTATTTATATATGTTTTCCACTGAAAATATTTAATTTCTTTTCCTGTTTGTCTTCTCTCACAGGGTGAAAACGAAGGCAATTAATCAACTTAGGGACTTCTAGCTCAAGAGATGGCATTCCTAGAGCATACCTGGAAATATTAGCTGACACTACAACAAGAAAATCCTGCTCACTGTAGACAAAAATATTCAGCTCTGTAGTCTTTCACTTGCTTCATAAACCAATTGTACACCATATATAAGCCAGACCCCCCTGATTGTAAGTGAAGTGCAGGTGTGTACCAGGGTGCGTGTCTTCTCTGCTTCCCAGCCCGCTTGCTTTGAGTGTTTTGGTCAGGCTCACTGATCTGTGTCTCACGTCTGCCTGCACTGGCACTTGGGATCTCTAGGTATTGCCAAAATATTTTTTTTTTAACTAATAAAAAAGTGTTTGAACAAGTTTTTTTTTTGTTTCATTTGCACATTTTAGATCCTTTCAAACTGATGAACTTTTTGGATAGAAGTGTGGTATGAAATACACGGATCTCAGGACTGTGAGGGCTTTGGATTGTGATGTAAAAGATAGGGGATAATGAAAAATTGTGTTTCTGAAGTCAGTGGTGTAAGTAGGCCAGCTTTCTGTCTCTTAGGGCTGAAACATAGAGATCTCACGTTTTAAATACTCCCCCGTGCTTAAGAGAGAGAGTGTGAAAGGGGAAATTGGGAAAAAAAGAGGTTTTTAAAAGAATGTGTAAGTCACATCGAACTTGGTTAGCATTTGTTCTTTGCTGTTCATTCTGCTTGCACCAGACCATGAAAACTTCGTCCTGACACCTGGGTGTAACGAAGGGCTGGGAGGGAACTAAAGAAGTGTGATAGGCACTGACCTGTCAGATCAGAACTGCAGTAGTGCTGGCAGGGGTAGGCAGGCTTGCTGTGAAACGTGTAAATTCGGTAACAGGTGCCAACGGAGAATTACCAGTGCCACGCCAGCAGCCAGGCTGGTATCGGTTACAGCAGTCAGTCAGCCTGCAGATAAGCTGCTGAGTGAGAGCTGTAGAGACCTTCCACATTCACAAACATAGAGAATGGGAAAATGCTGCTACAAGGTCATTGCTGTGTCTGCTAGTGAAGCATGGGTTAAAAGCATGTCAGTAAACATGGATGTAAATATGGGGTCTTTGATTCACCTATAGGCGGAACACCCATGAATCCATGAGTAGCCAATGTAAAGGGCAGAGATTTAAGCTGCTTCAAAATCAGAGTGTTAATCTTCATTAAACTGCATTATGATGACTATAAAAGATATTACAGGAGAGACATGCTGTAGCATGAAAGGATCTAGTGTGATATCAGCATCTCTCACCCATAAAGAATACACATAAAGCATTGCTTTGCAGAGACCACAAGATTTCCAGCTGAGTGGATGTTTGATCTTGGGAACAAAAGGAACAAAAGAGCTTTAGCAGAAGCAGCAAGGCCCCTCAAAGGAATTTATATCCAATATGTGCATACTCTTTTCTGATGCCCTGAAAAACATATGCCAATTAAACAGACTAACTAAAATTGAGGCCAAGGTAAGAGGGCATAAAGGGCCATGTGATACTCAGGCCCAGCAGCAGGAGACTGGAGTCTATTCTTAGTGATCACTAGAGAGAGACAGGGAAAAACTCTGCTCCAAAGCTTTGCTTTATGGGGATGCAAACAAAAATGTTTTGCCAGCCAGGGAAAAGAGGAGATGAGTACCTTCACCAGCTACAGCATGTGGGAAGCAGGGCAGGTACTGGCTGGGCCAGGCTGTAACTCAAAATAAGGATTAAGCCACTTGTTTTAATCTTAATTCCTTAATCAATTCCTTGATTAAGGACTGCTCACCTCTCAAGCAGGCTTTGACCCTGCTTGAAAGGTTCAAAAGGACTTACACCAGGAGAGAATGAATGATAATTGTTGAGCTGAAAGTGTAGGCACACTTTTCTGCAGTACTGAGCTATGTAGCTGCTTAAGAGAGGCTTGCAGCACTCCACACTGACATGCTGTGCTATAGCATTTTCTTCGCTGTGGAAAAGAAAGGATTTAACTGATGTTTACTCACCAGAAACTGTAAGCCTAAAAACACTGCTTGAGTATTGGCTAACATATGGGCATCGAAAGTGTCTGAATGTTTCCTTAAGTTCTGCCTCTGCACTTGCCTGCTTCTCACATCACTGAGCACCATTTTGTGCCCAGGCTGGATGTGGGGGTTCAGCGCTTCCCTGCCACAGCCCCTGCCTAGGTGTGCTCTAGTACCATTGTGGTCAGAGCTCAGGATAGTGTTTATCTTGTCTTGCACAAGGTAATCACAATAATTAGAGACCAGGATGTGATTTACTCCCACGTGAGCACCCTGCATCATCGAGTGTGAAGAGGGTACTGCTGTGCCCATGCAATGGCTCAGTGAGCCTCAGTTTCCTACCCATCCCTTCTCCAGACTTGCTGCTACCCGGGTGGGGAGAGCAGAATTGCCAGTCTGAGCAGCCTTTGTTGAAGGTAAGAACACTTGTTTCTCCTGAAGTAGAGGAGTCTGTCATAAAGGAGCCAAAAGATTATCTAATAGTTAAATTATTTGTTTCAATCTTGTTGCATGTCTGTTTGGCTCACTATAGGGAAAAGAAGTCTGAAGTTTTAGTGAGTATCCAGACAAGTGTAACGACAGGTGATGGAAGGAGAGTGAAAAATGGAAGGATGGAGGAGATGCATCAGAAAACATCCCACAGCAGAAAGTTCTTTCACAAGAGAAGCACTGGGAATCTCCCTGCCCCAGGTAAAAGCTGATGGAGGCAAACACAAGTAAATAATTTTTTGCTGACAGTTCATGGTCTGGGCAATCAAGAGTTTCTATTACATGACTCACCCTGTGAATTATTCAAGTGGACCTTGTATGTGTGATACCACTCTCTTACAAGCTGTTAATTTAATCCCACTGTGACAAGACAGTTCTTGGTGCCAGGCAAAGCAGGGCCATAGTCTGTCCCCTGTGACGTGACTTGAGTGCTCACACTCAGACCTCCTTGGTGATCCAACGAGCCAGAACAGCTGCTGTCAAGTGTTGCCTCAACTTGACCATACAAGTGACCAACAGAGTGCTGAAGAACAGGTTTTTTTCCCCTTGTAACAGCAAAACTTACTTACATGTAAAACTGCAGTTAAGCTTTATTGAGTGATTTGTTCTGCCACAGCTCATGGCCTTTGAAAGCTCCCCCGCAATTATGTTTTAGCCAAGGGGTAAAGGGCATGCAGGGCCTGATTTTTTGAAGATGTTTGTCCTGGATGCAGAAGAGAAAGCAGTGACACTCTTCGGCATATCTCAATGTGTGTTCCCCTAATTTAAATGCAAATCAGGTAATAATACCTTTCTCAAATTTCCACTTCATCTGAAAGTCCTGTTTGATGTCTACATAATGACTGTCCTAAAACTGAACTCAAAGATCACCCAATTGAAAACTGAAGGGCTGATTTTTCTTTCAATACTGTTCTCCTTAAAAATATACACAATACACACTCATATAGCTTAGCTGCTTCATAAATGCATTGGAAACCTACCAAATCACAAGGTTTTTCCATGCTGTTGGTAGCCTATCAGAAAAAACTCAGATTAAACCCAAGCTCTCTAAAATGTGAGACCACCCCCAGCCTGCACAACTTTGCACAGGTCTGTTGGCAGCACAGAGTTGCTCTGTCAAGCTTTGGCACTGCTTTCTTTCTGAGTGGATCCCAGTGTGAGGAAGGAGGCAACCTCGGTAACTCTGCCTCTCCACCTCTCATTTCCTGCTGAGCCTCAGGTGGGGTGGGCAGCACTGCTGTGTGCCATAAGGGTAGAGCCACAGAGACTCCTTCTCTCTCACTGTGCCTAGTAATAAATACAGTGTGGAGAGCATTGTATAGACCTTACTATCAGCTTTCTCACCCCTCCTGAAATACGAACAATTCTTTCTTTCCCTAACCCTGTGCCAGATCTTAAGGAGTGCTCAAGCTTTTCTCATCTTTTCACCCCTTCTAATTTAAAGATCAGACAATTTTCTTTTTCTTTCCTAACATTGAAGCTGCAGGACATCATGAGGCTCCACAAGAATTCCAGTATTTCAGCATGGGTTTAGTCTCTGGTGCTCCAGAAGATGGTAGATACTGGACACTTCACCTAGATGTTGCCTCAAGATTCAGAAACCAGGAGGTAAAGAAATCCACATATACTGGCCTTATTTTGAGGCTGTGCTTTGAAGCAGAGCTGACCAATGATTTCTGGAGAATGTTACCACCCGTGTAAAGGAAGAATCAGTCAGACCGACTTTTCTCACAGAACTGTGTTTCAGTTTTTGAGCTGAAAGGCTGATTTAGCTTAATTAGAACAACTTTATTTTGATCTTTTAAATGACAAACATGACCTATGACAATTATATATTTTTATGAGCAAACAACTCTATTTCTTAAAACAATTATATTTCTTGATGTAAATATCACATCCCTTCCATGCTAATGTTCGGCTGTTTAGCAGCTGTGGATGTTGAACCCTTCACACTTCCATAACTTCAGGAATGATCCATGTAAGACTTTGCAGCCCTGACACATCATTGCATTTACCTTGCTGATGGAAACCATACCTATCTACAAATCCCAACCCTGGTAAAATTATGATTGAACAAAGCCCAAATAAATTTCAGCACTTTCCATTTAATTGACCTAGTTTGCCCATTTTAATGTGTAAAACATGAGCTCTTGCTCTGATCAATTACTTCTCACCTTAAGTAATAAAACCAGAAGGGTTCATGTTACTGATATAGGAGAGGGTGCTCAAAGATGCCATGGAAGAGGTGTGAAAGGAAAGAAAATCAGAACAATTTCTAATTTCCCTGCAGCAGCTTACATTTAACTCACAACTATTTGGACCACATGTTTGAAGTTGCCAACTAGTTCTAGAGCTGTGGAGCCCTCCTAGCACTTAAGGAATTAAGGAATTTTGGGGTTTTGCTCCCCCAAACACAACTAACTGCTCATCACAGGCAGCAGATTGAGAAGGTGCAGAATATAGAGAGTAATGGGTTATGGGAGAAGGGTGCTGCTGAGACAAGTTGCCTGTCAGAGGTGAGCAGGCAGCGCTGCTGGGGTGGTGACACTTTTTCACATCTCAGTTCTGGCCAGGCGGTGCCAGTGGTGCTCCCTGGCACTACCAGGTGCAGTAACTTTTAGAATAGCCTGGAATTCCAGGGGCACCTGGGCGTATAGTTCTGCCTGCACACCCTGGTACCTACCCCAGCTGGCATTAACCAGGATTGC